AATTCGGATCTTTGTAGATATGGATAGATCCCAACTGCTGTTTCCTTGCTTTGCCATCTTCGGCTACTGAATCTTATGAATTGCTTAGGATGCGTTCGAGGGATATTGTTGGCTTGTGGGCTATGGTGATGCCAAGGGGTGGTAGTAATCTGTTGGTGGCTTCTGAGACATTTTTGATGGATGGAAGAATTATCCTATTTGTGGGTTATAATGTACGTACTGTGGTTAGTTGCACGGACAGACCCTTTTTTATGAAATTGCACTCCAAGAGAGGGCTTGGAGGCCTTGTGGCCCAATGATCCCATCTCCTCTTGACTGTATATCTTTTGACGGGACAGATCTGGTTTTAAATGCTGCAGACAAGGGTGTTGTTTCATGCAAAGCAGTCGCGTTTTCTGCAGAGCTTGATACGCCTGCTTTGGCAACCTCCTCTGGCTGCCTGGCTGCTGATATATTTGCACAGACATTTATTCATGTGTTAGATCGATATCCTGCCTTTCCTTCAGAAGCTCAAGAAGGCAAGTGTGGCATTTGCTCCTCCAGTTTTTCTCACAGTAGCCACTCTGGGAGGTAGGCTGGGCTGAGAGAGAGTGACTGGCCTTAGTTCATCCCAGGGGCTTCCATGACTGAGGGGGGAATAAAACTTGGGTCTCCCTGTTCCTAGACCAGCACCTTCCCCACTACACCTGATTGGGCTCCTGGGCTGAGAGGGAGGGACTGGCCCAAAGTCCCCCAGGTGCTTCTGTGGCAGAGGGAGGACTAGAACCTGCGTCCTCCTGAGGCCGGTCCAACCCAACAACCACTACACCATCCTGGGACCATCCATGAAGCAAAGTGGCTCTGCGTGTCCATGTGGGAACGTCTTAGAACCAGTGATGCCGAAGGATGCAATTTCTTAAATGTTTTGAGCTCATTTCTGGGACGGGAAGTGGTTTGGGTAGTTCTGGACATGGCCCAGCCCTGCAACTGACCACTTCCTGTTCTGGAAGATTTCGTTTCAGAAAACCAGCAGATCACTCCCAGAATGTCCAGATTAATATGGTGTAGAAGAAAGTGATGGACTGGAATTCTCTGGAAATAGAATATTTTTGCATGTACCCAATTTCTGTTCAAGTCCAATCTGATTCATCAGTTTGATTAGAATATTGCATTGATTGGACCATTTGAAGAGATTCAAGAGACCCTCCCAATATTCCCCATGAAGTTGACCTCAGCCCGTTCTCAGAATAAGGAAGAGCCTTGCTTTAACAGTTTTTATTCCAGTATTTGCAACTCTTATGTTTTTCTACCTGTCTCCTTTTCTCTGCCTCCTGCTTCTTGGGCTGGTACAGCCCTGAGCATAATTCTTTCGTTAAAAGCTCTGCCTGTTTCCTCCCCCACCCTGTCTGCAAATACCGTAACCAGGAAACGCTTCTGCAACCAAATCTCTAGCAAAAACCTGGCATGATTTTTGTAAAAGTTCCCCCTTCCTTTGCATGGCTGCCAAGATTTTTTTTTTCTTTTTCTCTTTCCACCCTCCACTGATCCCTAAATATTTCCTGTAGAGGCTGTCAGCTTTAATAGGCCACCATCCCAGAAGAACAAACAGGTAGATCTGTAATTCTAACCTACTGGAAAAGTTCCAGGGTCTAGAACGATACTGTGCATGTCTATAAGTGAGAGAGAACTCACCACAGCCAGCGTCATACAGTAAAAGATTAGATCTGCCTGAGAATCTGGCTTACCTTTGACTTTTTCCAGGTGCCAATCTTGGGCAGAATGAAGAAGGGGGACAGATGGGGATCAACCCAACAGTTCCGGAAATCTGTGTGCTTGGTGAACCAGATCCTGTCAATGTTCAACAACGTGTTGTAGTTTACCTGCTGTGAGCCACCCAGAGTCACTTAGATGAGACGGGCGGCCATACGAATTGAAATAATAATAATAGTTGGGTTTTGACATTTGGTAGGATTTCCACTCATAGGCAAAGCATTTCCTGCAAGGGTAAGATGGCAAAGGGGTTATGAGGAATATCACTATATAAACTACCCCTTAAGTACCTTCTGGAGGTGACACCAAGGTATCAATAGGACAGATCAACTGTTCTCAACCAGATGTGATCCCACATCTCTGGAGGACATCAAGTTGGGGTGATGGTTGGTAGGTAATTTTAAGCAAGAGCTCTGCCTCTTTCTGTACGATCAGACCGAGTGGACCCTCTCAAGGTCCCTTAGATAAACAATGTCATCTATTGGAACCCAAGAAGGATGTCTTCTCTGTCACAGCACTTGTCCCCTGGAACAACATCCCCTCCAAGATTCATATGGCTCCACCTTGATGATGTTTAAGAAGTCTTTGAAAACCCCAGGGTGAGGGTTAGGATGGGTCCTGAGGTCCTGTAGAACTGTTTTTTACAGACACCCATGCATACATTGCTTTCCTGTTTTATGCCTTTCAATGTTGTAAGCCACCCAGAGCCTTATGGAGCTGGGTGGCCTCTAAATCTTATAAATAAATAAAATAAATAAATGTTGGCTTTCTCCCATCAATAAACTGGTAGAGACAGAAGAGATGGGGTGGATGGGGGGCAAAGGAGTGAAAAAAGGGAGGGGAAGGAGAAGAAAAGGGGAAGAGAGGAATGGCGGTCTGCTTGTGTGTCCTGCCCAACTCTAAAACCCCAACCCTTAAATTACAATCTTAAAATATCCCTCAAGACGCTAAATTACACTGTATCAGGAGCCAAAAGCTGGAGACCTCCATGCAGGGAGGGACTAGATTTTGGGAAGGAGAGACAGAAAAAGAGAGAGAGCTGGAACAGGGAGTCCCATCCCGCATATCATCAGACTCCCGATCGCAGAGAGCCAGTTTGGTGCAGTGGTGAAGGTGCTGGCCTAGAAACCAGGGGAATGAGTTCTAGGCCTCCCTTAGCCAGGAAAGCCAACTGGGTGACTTTGGGACAGTCAGCCCAACCCACCTCCCAGGGTTGTTGCTGTGGGGAAAATAGGAGGAAGGGGTAATTAGGTATGTTCACCACCTTGAGTTATATCTGAAAAAGGCAGGATAAAACTCAGATCATCATCGTCAATGACAAAGATGTTATTTATCACCCTCCCTAAGAGGATGCTCTTCTACACCCAATCTTTGATGCCTCTCACACCTAGTAGAGTCAAGCTCTGTGAGAAAGCTGCTGGCCAATGGATGGTGATTATGGTCCCTCTAAAACAAGAATGATACTACATAACGTAGTAGATGACATTCGCTGAGGCTCTCCTGCATACAGAGGTAAAGGAGAAAGACACCATGACTTTTCTAGCAATGATCAGGTCATCCACAGGAGAAGAAAGGGCCTCCTGCAACCATTGGCTGGATCTCCCCTCCCTTTGTTGGCTGCACTCTGCTGAATTTCAGATTGTAAGCATTCCAGAGTAGGAATTTATTCTTGCAGATTCGGTAAAGTTTCATCTTATATGCAAGAAAGAAAGAATTATAGCTGACACACTATGCTGCTTTGAGAGGTCTTTGATAGGCCAAAAAAACGTTGGGCAAATGACAGTTGCGTTCAGTGACTCAATTCTGCAAGTATGTCAGTTCAAGGCATCAGATTTAATTTAAAAAATGGCACTAAAAGACCTACGCACACCTCAGATATATATGGTTTTGTTAGCAATTTTACTTAATATATACAAATTTGGCAGTTTCCCCTGATGTAAAGCATCTTTGTATTTTCATGACTATATGTATCTTTGTAAAAATGCTTCCCTGGTGCTTGTCCACGTCCATGACTGGGACACTGGGTTGCAAAAATGGAAGGACTGAATTATGAAATAACTAAATTTCAGTTTGGGCATTGACTGAAATATGTGAAATTAGCTCATTCATCAGAGGTAAAATGGATAGTTTCTCCCCTCTCCCCCATGGAAAGTAGCATATAAATTGAACATCTCTTCTATGCTGAATCATCATGGAGAAAAATCTGTCTATGCAAGTGTTTCTCAACCTCGGCAGCTTGAAGATGGGTGGACTTCAACTCCCAGAATTCCCCAG